ATGACGTGGACACTTACAAAATCAACAACCAATATCTCTCTATGATAAATTTGATTAATGACACTAGAAAATATTTTATTTCTTCCCCAATTAATTATTGGCCATCCAAGTCAAGGATGTTGAGTAAAGAATATATGGTTCTAGAGATTTAACTAAATTCCATTTTTTCTTATTTCTTTCCCTGTTACACAGTCAAAGCTTGTAGAAAATGACAAATAGACAAAAATTAGAAAGGTCACCTAAATCTCTTTATTACCTAAATATAGTTAAGGTAGTTGAGCCCCAAAACCCACCCCAGTCCACATGTTATTCTCTCCTTTTCCCAGTAATCCCAATTTGTGTATAAATCCCCTCGTAATTCTCTCCATATATAGCCAATTTCACATTCTTAAAAAAATCATCGAAAGTTCTGTCCAAGCCTAATAATATTCTCAAATTTATGGACCGATTCGTAACTTTTCCATGTCTCATCCCAATTTTGATATTCGCTTGTATCGTTCTAGCCATGCCCGTCGTTGGCCAGACGAGTAGAGCCTGCACCGGAGCAATGTTGAGTAGCTTTGGCAATTGTATCGGTTTTCTTGCTAGCCGTTCCAATGCATCTTCACCAACTTCAGATTGTTGTAGTTCACTCAAGAGCCTAATGAGCAATGGACAAGATTGTTTGTGCCTTATTGTTACTGGTGGTGTTCCTTTTCAAGTACCTATAAATCGAACGCTAGCAATTTCTCTCCCACGTGCCTGTAGGATGTCTGGCGTGCCTGTTGAATGTAAAGGTGATTCGACATGAACTATAGTCGCGTTTATCGTTTTCCAAATTTTTCGAGTCTCAAAATACTAAAATTGAGTCTTTGTTATTCTTCATGCAGCCACTAGCACCCCGATTCCAGCTCCAGGTATCATCTCTTAAAACTTGCTAAAACTTTACTTTTGAAGTTCGAGCTTCACTAGAATAAGAAGCCCAGATTTCTAAGAATGCACAACGAAGGTCATGGAAATCATCTACTAATTATTATTTCAGATTTAGGGTTAT